AAGGTTATAATTTTACACTTTTGAAATGTTCTGCATTTTTAGAAGAAAAAGGAAAGGAGTAGATAATTGAGGTCACTGTCCTTATGCTTCTCTTTTGGGAAATGGCCAGGAATCTATTTTAAATGACACAAAGGCAACATGAAATTTGAAAAGATAATACCCATTCATTTAACATGCAAGAAAATTACATCATTTTTTAAAGTGCCAATGCCATTCTTAAAACAAGGCCTTTACTATCTGTGGTCAAAACAATATGGCTTCTGAAAACTTTTTACCACACACATTAAAAACTCTCTAAAATATTTGTGTAACTTGAACCTGAAATCACACTAGATGGGTCTACCTTAAGAATGTCATTCAAAATATAAAAACTATGCATGCTAATTAATGTTATCCACAATGGTGTTATTTATAATGGTGAATCAACATGTGTCCAATATTAAAAATTTATTTAGGGGCCTGCCCATGGCTCACTCGGGAGAGTGTGGTGCTGATAACACCAAGGCCACGGGTTCGGATCCCATATAGGGATGGCCGGTTAGCTCACTGGGTGAGCGTGGTGCTGACAACACCAAGTCAAGAGTTGAGATCCTCTTACCAGTCATCTTTAAAAAAAAAAAAAAAAAATTATTTAGGAAACCTATAGTGCACAAAATTAATGGGCTATCATAAAACTTCAACAAATGATATGAGCAAAATGATTATAATAGACTGGGACTCATTAAGTTAAAATTCAAGATACAAAGCATGCCTACAACAAAATAGAACAAATACTGCATAAATTTCAAAGATTGTGGAAAGGAAAAAATATTGAGTTACTTGGGCTAATGGAAGTGAAAGCAATACTTATTTCTTCTGGATAGAAATCATGGACTTTAGGCATACATATATCTGAGTTCAAATCTCAGCTCAGCCATTTACTACATGGTGCTTTGGGTAATCCTCTGCACCTCATACTATGCCATTTAAATCTCTACACTGTTGACCCTACGTGCTAACCTGGCAACTGCCCCAAAAAGGTTGTAAATAAAATTAAGAGTAAAAGCCGCATCATAAAAGTGATCTTTGCAGTGACTCTAAGAAGGTAAAGGAAAAATAAATTCTATTAATTTAAAAAGGGAGAGGACATAAGCAATGACGTTGCAAACTGGTATAATACGATAAATAGGTTCATCGTGCAGCCACTGAGAATCTGAGCCAAACAAAAGTAAGATGATTTACTCTAAATGTCCTATATAGGTAGGAAGCCCTCCAGCAATGAGTGTTTCAAAGCCCAGAAACTAATATTCCTGCATATGTTTAGGCATACTATTAAAAATTTTCTGCTCGGCACAGCAAATGCACAATT